CTTTCTGTATTTATGTAGTGAATCTCAATAAAATGCTTTCTCCCTAGGTTCTGGCTCATCTTTCCTTCTAAGGGGTTGACTACTACTAGTGACTGACCCTTGTGATCTCGTAGAAGCTATTCATATGGGCTCTCAGGGAGACTCTGACATGACCACCTCCTGTCAGGAGTGTGTAGGTATCTCTACAAGGAGACATCTAGGAAAGCATGGGTAGGTAGAGCTGGAAGAGTTCCTCAGTTTCAGCTGGGTGTTGTATCACAGGCCTGGAATCCCAGCACTTGCAAAGTAGAGGCAGGAGGATCAGAAGTTCAAGTCTGTCTTCAGCTACATAACAAATCCAAAGCTACATGATCTGTCTTTAAAAAAATATTCTTGGTCTTTTTTCATTTGTGTGTGTGTGTGTGTGTATGTGTATGAGAGAGGGATATGAATATTTGTAGACACATGGTGGCACATGTACCCATACATGTGTGTATATGTACATGTATGAACATGTTGGGGCCTGAAGTTGATGTTGGCAATCATTTTTGCTCATTCTTCCAACGTACTCACTGAAGCAGGAACTCAGTAGCACCCAGAGCTCACTCGTATGGCTAGTGTCCCCAGCCAGCTTGTTCTGGGAATCCTGCCGTCACCTTCTTAGGATGGTATTACAGGTGGGCTGCCACACTGATACGGTATTTGTGTGGGCTTGGGGGCCTTCTCCTTGCCTGGCAAGCCCTTTAACCATTGAGCCATCCCCACAGATCTCTTCTCACGATGTGTTTCTAAGTCTGAGCAGAGCCTACTCCCCACTGATGGCCGGCAAATTGCCTTGGTTTCCTCCATAAGCTCTCTGGGAAGAAAGGATCCGTCATATGGGGAATTCCCCAAATACAGTTGTACAGCTCAAAATAATATCCAGTATATCTGGCTGGATAGAGGGCCTAGCGCTCTGACCCACTCCCAGCTTGAGAGGTGACCCAACTGGCCATTGTAGAGGAGGAGCAACAGAAGAAATAGCCATGCTTCTCAAGCTGCTTGTCTGCAGTCTCGTGGGGATCCTGTTCAGATTCTGGGGCTGCTGGATAACTAACTGAGCGGACAAAGGAGCCTAATGACCTAAGTCTTCAGTCCCTGAGACCACCTGGTAGGAAGGAAGAATCAACTCCTTCAAGTTGTCTTTGGATTTTCCACACTTCTACTATGGCACAACGCCCCTCCTCAAATTCTTACATATAAAACAAAACCAAAAGTAGTCATAATGCATGAAGCAATCTTTTAACATTTAACATAAAACAAGAAACAAAGTTCGGATTCTGTGGTGAGTATGCATTGTGGCACTCCGGGCAGCTGACAGGGAATAGTGAGGATTAAAGCCTTCACACCTGTGACAAACCCAGTGGCCTCCCCCATACCTTCCTTGATGCCTTTCCTGGTGAGGAGCAACAAGGATTTAATCACCATGCGTTCTAAAAAAAAAAAAAAAAGCCATGAAATAAGTTTAGGAGGAATCGCCAATTTAAATGAAGTAACTATTTCCTTCGGGCCTTCCCAGAACCTTTACTATCCAATGGGGCTTATGACCACCCCTCCCCCACAAGTGGGACTAGAGCACGCACTGTTATTCAAGGTTGGTATTATTATCTTGGGATACTTTTCTCACAGAACATTGTGTTGTGGAGAAGAGCCTCCAGGCACTGGTAGCTTGAGATACAGTGCCACAGCTTTTGCCCCTGGACCAAGGCTCTAGCTTTTTGCAGTAGGTCCCTGTAGCCCTGTCTCTTAAGTGCCTATCTGTTCAGAAGTATGCCAGAGTGAAAAAGGTGTGGCCCTCTGCTAGGGAAAGAGAACAAAAGCAGTACCAGGGGACAGCCCTGCATCTGGCCCTGGGGATTTGCCAGGCACTGTGGCACCAGACAGCAGCTGGAGCTGCTGATTTCAGGAGAGCTTGGGGGCCCTGGATTCTCCCCCAGGATTTCTGTTTTTATCACTGTTTTGTCTGAGATTGAGCCACCAATTGAGAGCCACTTGAATGCTGGACTTAGCCTCATTTTTACCTCTGAATCAGCTTTGACAGAGGATAGAGGGAAATTTTTAAGAAATATCAACCCAGAAAGATTGGGAAATAGCTCTGGATAAAGGGTTTGTTTTGCTACATAAGCTGGAGCAGCTGAGTCCCAGGATCCCAGGGATTCATTGGTTAGCCAGTCTAGTCAAAACAGTGACCTCTAATTTCATTAGGACAATATTTTAAAAGAGGAAGGAGTGGTGGAGCCATGGAAGAAGACATCCAGTGTCAACTTCAGGTCTCCGCATAAGCACACATGCTCATGTGAACATACACATACATAACACAGTTATTTATTGATCTTGGGAAACTTTGCTCACAGAACATTTTGATTGCATTTCACAGGGCAGAAGTTCTCAGATACCCAAGCTATCTTAGATTTTTGAAGACCTTAGTATGCATTTTCAGTTTTAAATATTTTTTCATAAAGTTTTAAACTATAGCGTGATCAAATTTACCATCTTCATATTTTTATTGTTTTTAATTTGAAGAATTTGTCCACAGGCTGAGGCAATAAAAATGCTCTCCTCCCAGGCCAGATAGCATAGACTTACAACTCTATTAGTTTTACCTTAAGAGGTAAAAGCAAGAGAATCTCAGTTCAAGACTATCCTGGGCTACATGGTGAGACCCTGTCTCAACAAACCAAAACAACAAATTAAAATATTTTTGGTTATGAGCCTAGACTTTAACAAATTAAAAAAGATGCCTTCCAATATTCCTCTTTAAAATTCCAAAAACAACTCTTCACATTTATGTATTTAACCTATTTAAAATTTGCATTTATATATGATAAAAGTGGGGCTAATCCTCTATACTTTTAAAAGATTTATTACTCTGTATGTGTGTGCATGCACATGCATGCATAGACATATATACTACACACACACACACACACACACACACACACACACACCAGGTAACATGCTGAGACGGGAGGATCAAGGGCTCAGGCCACTGTAGACTACAAACATATTGAGAGCCTGTTCAAAAACCAGGGGTGGGGTGTGGCAGGGCAAGCTGGCTCACCAAGTAAAGGCATTTGCCGCAGGGCCTGACGACCTGAGCTCAAGCCCCATGACCCACACGGTGGAAGGAGAGAGCTGACTCCTGCAAGCTGTCTTCTGACCTCCACTTGTGTCCATATCACACAAATAAATAATAAATGTAAAATAGGAAAGGAGGCTGGAGATGCCAGAGGTTTTCCTCTCATCAGTCTATGAAAACAGAAAACTATAGGTCTGAGTTCTCCATTTGCTCCTGTCCGCAAGGGGTCCTGAGGAAGTTACTTAGTTGCCTTCTGTTGTAGTATACTGGTGGTAGAACCTGGAGTCTTTTTATGTACTAGGCTAGTACACCTATTGACTGTATGCCCACTCTACTCTTGAGTCTGGGGGAATGCTGAGGGGGGCTGTAGGGTGGGAGCGCGAAAGCTCACTAAGTTGTCCAGGCTGACTTTAAATTTGTAATCCTCCCTCCTGCCTCAGTCTCTCAAACAGCTAAAACCAAGCATATTACTTCTTTGAACACCAGTCTCTTCACCTATAAAAGGACTTAACACAAGCAAAGCACTTAGAAGTGTGCTAAGCACATGGTTGAGTGCCTAGAAAATACTCCATTTTTATCGCCTTCGGCTAGGTTTAGGGATGGTGATTTAGCAGCAGAAATTTGTGTTCAAAGTTAATTTCTTATAAGCTGGGAGCTTGAAACTTTATAATTTTTTCAGATATCCCATAGGCCCTTAGGTGCCATTTCAAGTCTTAGATTCTTATCTTGTTTAACTTTGGGGCCAGAGAGAACTGGATGTGAAGGATCACAAATTGGCAGCTACTAAGGTACACGGTGACCTTGGATTTACAATTCTCAGGAGAGATTTTAGAGGTATCTGATGCCTATCAGCTAACCTGTCCCTTCCATTTATTTATTTATTTATTTAAGGTAGACTTTCTTCAGATTGTAGTTGTTAATTGCCTTCCAGTGCAAGGCACCCCTCCTTCTGCCTCATCTGTGATAGTACTGCAGTTATGGGCCTAAGCCAGCATGGATGGCTGACCAGTCTTTCCAGATGTGCCTTGGGCCTTCAGAGCATCTTTATACACCCTCACTTACAGTTCCCATGTTGTAAGTATGGCACCCTCTCAGAATAGGAAAAGACGAGAAGCAAGAAATATTAGATTTGGTGTATCAGGCCTGTGCTGCCAAGATGGGGTTGCAGTTGGTCTGCTCCTAAGAGGATGGGTTCCCCATTTAGTAACCACCCTTTCTGCTTAGGACTTCAGCAACCCTTGGAAACGCCCCAGAATGGAGACCAGCCAGCTCTTGCTGTCATTCAGTTCCCTCTGGACTTCACCTTCTACCTCACAAATCGGCCAGCAAGTTGGTAGCAGCTTCTTTCTCACCTGTCAGGAGAAACCTTGAGTATAATACGTGCTGTATAAAAAGTATGGCATATTAAACACTCAGAAATATCCAATAAGCTCTGGTCTCTTCTTTACCCACCCCAGTGCCTTATTTCCAACCTCCAAGTCTCCAGCAACACCTTAAAAGAGACCTGGCAACTTCCAAGCTCCATTCACCGTTACTAGTTTCCAGCTAGCTGCAGAATAAAAGCCCTTCATAAACCGGGCTCGGGCTTCCCTCCTGTGGTATCAACACGCATTAGCTGGGTCCTAGTCAGATTGAGCCGCTCGCTCAGTGCATTCCTCCCTCTCCGCCTTCCCTGGTCTCCAGCCCGGAATGCCATCTCCGCCTCTGCGCTCGCTTGGGCTTCCGGTCCGGTCCAGCCCCAGCTGGCCCATGACGCCTTTCTGAACAACAGCTCAGTTCACCCTGATCTCTTGCCCGGAATTTTCTCGGTAAAGCGTCCTGTCATATCAGGAGGGAGCGTCGGAAGCGGTTTCCCTGGGGAACTGCAATTCGAAGAGGATCACTGCCGTCTTCGGAACTTTCCCGAATCCCCTGCGCTCCCCGTTCCAGCTCGCTCCAGATGCGGTCGCAGTCGGTCTGAAGTGACGGCGTGTCTGCTGCAGGTGGGGGTGGCTTGGAGGGGCCGGGTTCGGTGCAACGGTGCAACGGGGCTCCCACCCGAGAGGTCACTGGAAAAGGAGAGGCGTGGTTATGCGGTGTTAAGGGGCCCGCACGTCGCCAGCGCAGCTGCATCGGAGGCTCTTGTGAATCTGTAGGGAAACTGAGGCCTGCGGGAGAGTGACTTGGCCAGGGTCACCGGGCAAGGGGCGTGCTCAGGCCTGAACCCTCGGGCTCCCGGAGGTAGCGGTGGCCTGCATCGGCTCGAGCCTCAGAAGGAGCCCCCCGTTCAGACCCTCCGGCCCAGGGTGGGCGGTGGAGCGCCGGTATGGACGGCAGGAAGGAGCGCAGGGGCGGGGGCGGGGACGAGGCCGGGCGGGGCCGACACAGGTGCTCCTCGGCAGGCCAGCGCCGCGGAGCTTTATAAGCCGCCGGGGCGCGGAGTCGCGCGCCGCTCGCTGCAAAAATAGTGCCCACGTGTGTGCGCGTCCCGCGCCGCACAGACCCGCCGGCCCGCCGGCCCGCCAGTCCCTTAGGGCCACGCCGGACCCCATGGCTTTCTCTCTGGTAAGAGGCTCTGGGGCGGGGCGGGGCCGGGCGGGGCCGCTGTCCCCGCCGCCTCAGCTAACGGTCCGCGCGCAGTCTCGTCGCCTCACAGGCCCCCACCGCCGCCCGGGTTAGCGTCCCGGGCGGGGCGCCGGTCACATGCCCGCAGTCGTGGGCCTCGTGGAGCGGTGTGGGGCGCGCGGGGAGGGGCAGGGAGCTTCCTCGTGACTCAGGCCTTTGGGCTTAAAGGCGCCGCGGCCCTCCGGGGGCGGCCGCCGGGGCCTGGGAGCTGCGTCTGCAGACTCCCGGTGGCCTCGAACATACGTCCAGACGGGAGCTGGCCGCGCGGACGGGAGCCCGGACGCCCACAACACTTCCTCCTCCCGCAGCCGTCGCACGTGAGAGCCCGAGCGGCCGGCGTCTCTGGAGAGAGTCGCCTTGGCGTCCCGGAGGAGGCAGGGGCTGGCGGCTCGCTGCGGGCGGCGCGGCGAGCGGCGGAGACCCCCTCGGGCTGGGTCCGCGCTGGGGGAGGCGCGCCGCGACGGCGCCGACATGGCTCCTTTAAAGCCGAGTATTCGGGCCCCTCGTGCGGGCCGCGCGCTCTCCGAGCCCGGGGAAGTCACGTGGCTTCACACGTTCGATTGCTCCCGGAGCCCTATCCCTCAGGGTGGAGCGGGCCAGGTGAGGTCGCACGTGCGTGTGACGGGGCTTCGAGGGCTGTCCCCGGGAGCCTCGCGGGGCTGGGGGCGCGGGGCCGGAGGTGGAGTCGAGCAGCCCGCGAGGGGGCGCAGGCGTGGAGCCTGCTAGTCCTCGGCGGCGTCCGCTCTCCTCACTCGGCGGCCGGGCGAGACGCACTCATGTGGCCTCGAGGGTGTCTTTCAGCTTTTCTCAGCCGGCGAGGCCAGGTGCCCAAACTCGGGGGTGTGTGTGTCGGGTTGCAGATGGGTTCGCGTGGCCTCCGGCTCTGACCTCCGGTTTGGGGGAGCGGTGACTGGACGCTGGGCGGGTAGGGCTGACAAGCTGTTTCATTGGGGCCTAGACGCCACCTGGGGGGAAGGCCCATGCCTGCCTAGGGTCCCTGAGGCAAGGGGACCCAGGTCAGGACAGAGCGTCCTTGGTGGGCAGCTCGGTGTCTTGCTCGGGTCTTCTCCACCCTCCGTGTGTCGCTCTGCGGTTCCAGCCTCTCTCTCGCCATGGTGAGCTTCATTTCCAGGGGGGCTCTGCAAGGCCACGGTTCCTACAAGTGGCCCTCAACGCTAGAAAGCATGGAGCACCTGGGCTCCAGGGTACTGTGCAGCCTCGTTCCACGCAGCCTCGCGTGTGTTAGCACCGTGGTCTGTAGTGGCACTTGGTGCCTTGCAGGCTCAGCCTACTGTGCCCTCAGATAGAATTAAGCGTGTGGAAATGTCGGAAGCACCCGAGACCTGGAATAGCCCGGGGCTGCCAGCCTCAGGCCTCCCCATCCCCCACCACGGCCTCCAGGCCCGACTCTGATGAACGCATTTCTCTGGCAACTGCTTCCTTTGGTCTCCCTGGCTACCGGGCTGCCTCCCCACTCTCTTCTGGCACCTGGGTAAACTGCTGGTCTGCGTCATTTGCTGGGGCCAAGGCAAGTGGGTCGAATTTAGTGCTCCGGAAATGCACGCACATACCAGCTTTCTACAGGTTACCTCTTAGGTGCTTCGGGCGACTTATACTAGTGGAGACTTTGATGAGGGTAGTTTTCACTTTGACATGCTCCTTTTGAGTGTAGGGATACAAAATTTAAAAAAGACGAAAAGAAAAGAAAAAATACGACAGGCAAAACAAAACCTCAGAAATACAAACTGGTGATTGTTTTCCCGGTATGTAGAAAGGAATGGACCGGTGACTTGGAATGTACACTGGGGCTCTAGCCTGTTAGGAGCTCCTAAGGATAGTAGTGTTCAAGAGTCACCACTGATCATTTACCCTTCCTTTTAAGAGCTTGCCTGGAACTCACAGGGCATTTTCTGTGGTGTTTACCATGTCCCACGCTCCCACTTCTCACAGTTATCTAAATTTGAGTCATTTGGCACTGCCGGCTCTGTTTAAAGAAAGTTGACAACCGTAGAGGTAAGTCAGCTTTGTAGTATAAAAAACACTTGCTCCCTTCTCAATGACTGTTTTACAGACAGCTTCCCTGGCAGCCCCCCACCCCAGGATGGAAGGGAAGCTGTGTCAGCCTGTATAGCAGACAGAAGTTAGCTGACACATGCGTTTAATGATCATGGGGACATTTGCAGTTAGTCAGTCCTTTCAGTATAGGCAGTTACATCGCTGTGGCACATGTTAAGTGTTCATAAAGCAGAAAGTGGAGGAGGAAGATGAAGTTGTATGACTCCAAGACTTGCACCAAACTTGTTAACAAGGAGCTATTGGCAATGGCTGTTTTGATAAGTGTTTGCATCTGGCGCAGTCGACTCGATTTAAAAAAAAAAAACCTTTCAGTGGTTTATAAACCCAAATTATACCAAGGTAAAATAAATGAGTTGAAGAGGGAAGAGTGGTAACCATTGACCTATACTGTATATGTATATGCCACTCTAAAGGAAGCATTCATTAATTGTTTACTGAAAAACTTCATGCCCAGAGTTGATGGACCTTTGTCACCTCCCCATTTTGAAGAATCCCTGGTTTGTTTGTGCAGCAATAAAAACTTAACACAGTTTGGATCAAATACAGCATCTTTAATGTTGGCATCAACCTGAAGACTAGTTTGAAGTTGAGGCTCACATACCAATTCAAAAAGCTATTAAGTGATGGAATCAGATCCTGGATCTTTTTGATGCTTTATTCCAGCCTATTACATGTTGTGTGCTTTGGTATGTCAAGGATCAAAAGGTTATTGGTGATGGTTGATAAAGAGAAAGGGTTTTATAGGCTGGTCCTATTTTCATAGTTGTCTGTAGAGATAGGAATCTCTCATTGCTGTAGAAGTCAGTATAGGTCTTCTGAGCATTGGTGCCTAGAAGGAATGTGCTGTGTCTACTATTCCATGATATGTGTCAGAGCAGTTGGTCCTGATAGCCAGAGGTCTGGAGAAAGGCTCCTCCCACTGTATGCTGACCCTCTTAACCACTGTACAGGAAACTTTCATTTTCAGCATAGATAAAATTTCAGTAATTTTCCTCAGACAAGGCAGATTTGAAATAATTGCTTTATAATTTTTATATTTTTAGTAATTGAATATTGAGAGAAAAACAACTTGCAGGAGTCAGTTCTGTCCTTCCAGCATAAGATCCTGCGACTCAGACTCAGTATTTTTACCTGCTGAGCCATATTGACAGCCCTGAAATTTTATATAATTGTTTTAAGACTGATGAAAGTAGAGTGGTGCTGAATCTCACCATTTCTGTTCTTAACAAATGCCTCTAGTGATGTCTTCTAGATTTCCACGAAGAGTTAGTAAAACTGTTAAAAGTGTGTGCCTCTCTTCCTCCCTATTCTCTCTCTCTCTCCCCTTCTCGTTCCATCTCTGCAGGATCTCCTTATGTGACCTTAGGCTGGCCTTGAACTCCCAAAACACCTATAGCAGTCTCCTGAGTAAAAAAGCTGGGATTGGGCTGAGCTGGGTTGGATTTTTGTTTTTGTTCTGTTTTGTTTCTGTTGTTGGTGGTGGGTTTTCTTTTTGTCGCTGTTTTGTTTTTGTTTTTTTGTTTTTTTTTTTTTTGGTGTATGTACTAAAGAATAATCTCCCAGGGTACAAAAAAGGACCCTGAGCCAGTAATGAGGGGCTGGATCTTTAATTATGGGCAGAGCTTAGAATCTTACTTAGTATCAGCATTATATCTAGTCTTACTAATAGGGGTTGGAAGGTTATAGAAGGAACATTTATTTCTGTATCTTACTCTTAAGGCTTTAAAGTAGTAATGAGTGTATTCAAAACCTTTGGCAAGTGGGTTTTTATCTGCGAACACAAGCTCTAATACAAACCAGTGGATTCTTTATCCATTGCCTGGAAGGTTTTAGTAAAGATAAGAACTTCAAAGTGTTACCTGGCTTCAGCCTCTTTAACATCTTTTACCAGCCAAGGACATCAGGTCTGAGTTCAGTATTGACTCAGCATTCTCAGATTGGGAAGCAGAGAGCTGTGGATGAGTCTGGGGCATCTGCACAAAAGTTCTTTCTAGTGTCTATTTTGCTAAGTGTTGTGTGTGTAAGTTTAATTCACTGGTATGAGGTCCCTTAGATAATTGACCTGAAATCATATCCATTTAAAGGGCAAATTCATTAGTGAATTTAATTCTAGTTAAAGTTGGGCAGGAATGTCTAATCAACCCAGGTTCTACTGTGTTAGACTTCTGTCTTCAATAGCTAGTGGTGGAGGTATTAAAAGAGTTGGGATCAAGCAAAAAATTCTATTTTCAGTGTTAGAAGAGCTGAGCTAATCTTGTCTTCACATCTACTTTTCCTAATCTAAACTAAACTGACTTTGGGT